ACAGATAAAATGAATTACAATGAGTTAGGCCCATCATATTTCAACTCTCTAATGGGCAGGAAGGTCTGTCTTTTTTACCCAAGCACCGTCCAAAAGCCTCCTCTTAAGAGTCAATTTGAGGCTATTTAAGACTCTCAAGTACCTGCAAGACATCTTATTAGCAATGATTCCCAAAGATCCTAAAATTGCAATCATCCTAAGGACAAGACATGGAAATAACTCAAAAATCATACTGATCACCAGGCTGCTGAGCACTTACATGTTACTTCACTTTGACCCCCACAAATCTAAGAAAAGGTTCCCACTTTAAACATGAGAAAACTGAGGAATGAGGAACTTAAGTACTTGTCCAGGTAAACCCAAGATGCTTAGCTGAGTCAGCCATACATCTATACCCATATTCTTATTGCCTTAATGCTTCTGCCCATATCTCACAGCAATAAAGACAAGAGTAGATGCGATGAGACTTTTGCTCATTCATTAAAAGCCATGTATAATATCTAAATACCTGCCTGGAAATGTGCCAGTCTTCCAGGGTTGAAAATAAGATTTCACAAATGAAACAACTTATTTGCAAAGAAAGTGATCTACTTGAAAAAAAAATGTTAAATAAGTGCTTTGCTATTTCAGAACTTAAAGAATAAATGGAAAAAACGGTGATGCATTACAGAATCAAGATCCAAAATGGAAGAAAGGGCACAGAAATGAGAGGCAATTTAAAACTGCCATAAAGCATTCAAATATATCAGCCAGTAACTTGTGTATCATAGAGATGTAACAACTGGTAAGTTCTAGTGATTGTTTCCTATACATAAATAATGATAAAGGTTTTCTTCACAATCAATTTCATTTTGAGAAAAGCTCTGGTCTCATCACAAATTTGTCTATGCTCTGGACAACAATACCACTGCACTAGAAGAACGCCAAGCACACCATCTGCTGTTTGACTAGCAGCAATTCTTAATACTGAGCATTGCTACTGTAACCACAATGCCAATACTAGCAAACCAAACCAAATCAAACAGTTATATGAATTTCACCCAGATACCCAACCAACTAACCACAATATATATCCCCACAATAAACCTCTGCCTGCTTTCCCACATTCATGAACCACGTGATGTGCACCATACTAGACACGAACTCTTCACCTGCAACAGCTTCTCTTAAGCTAAGGGAAGCCTAGAGGTCTGCCTCCATGAAGAATGGTGCTCACAACACCAAAGCATGGAGCGAATTATGAAATGGAGCCCCTGCTAAACACCAGTCTTGAGACCACAAGCACTCACGGCAACAACCCTAGTTACCTAGGAGTCACCTCAGAAGCTCTAAAATCATGTCAGTGCCTGGGCCTTGCCACAGACCAATGTCATTTATTTGTAAAGTTGAGGCCCAGCATAGATTTGTGTGTGTGTGTGTGTGTGTGATGTTCATGTATGTGCTTGTATGACTATACATTTGTGTGCAGATATATATATATATATATACATATACATATATGAGTGTAGAGGACAGATATTGATCAGGTGCCTTCCTCAATCATTTCCAACTTAGGTTTTTAGACAGGGTCTCATTGAACCTAGGACCAACTGATTTGACTAGACTGGTTGGCCAGCAAGTCCCAGGGATCCTCCTGTCTCTGCCTCCCCAGTGCTGGGACTACAAGTTGGCTTTTATTATTTTTTTCATATGGGTGCTTTTTTTCATATGGGGATTGAGTTCGAGTCCCTTATGCTTATACAGCAAGCACTTTACTGACTGATCCATCTCCCTTAGCACTCATGAATGGATGCATTTTTTAAAGCATCTCAGATGATTCCCAAGTAGAATCAGGGTTGAAAAACACCACCAAATATTTCTAGTGTGGTATTTCTGAAAACCTCTGAAGTTACAAATATATTGGATGGTACAAAGACCACAAAACTCTCCTCCCCCCCTACATCTGCCGGCTGAGCAGATGTATCAAAATGATACATTCATACAGTGTTATCTTAACACTAAGGTCCCATTATTTATTTTATTTATTGTGAAATACTAAGAAAGAGTACTCGTCGGTCACTTCCCACACCCCAGTGGCCCAGCAGATTCTGAGACCCCAAGCTGTATGTGGCTCTTGAGAAAGTCATGCTCACACACTGAAGATGAGCACTTAGCAGAGTACAACTGGCAGTGTCCAGTCAGGAAGCAGCCCAGCTCAGCAACCCAAAAGGAGGGAACCTTCATAGCCCAGGCATGATTATCAGACTCTTTGTGCTCTTAAAGGAGAGTAATTATAGGCATGTGAAAAAAGGGAAGCACTCCCCAAGGAACTCTTCCTCACATGCTTCCCAAGAGGCATGAGGGCCATTAAAAATTCCATGATGAAGAGGAAAAACAGCCTGGGAACAGCCAGGAGGCAATACAGCAAATTAATACACCAGCCCTCCTCAGGGAAAGCTGCGATAAAACAGGAAACACTTCTCTCTTTGCAAAATAAAATTATACCACTAATGATAACATAGTCACCACACATGCACGCAAATCGTTCTAATGATGGGTGTAAAATTCCCAATGCTACCCAGATGCTTTGAAAGAAATTTCTTCTTACTACAAATAAAATGGGACAAGAAAAAGATAAAATTTCCATTCAAAACACTTTTTAATACAGTCATTGGGCTGCCCCTTCCTACCACCACTGCTCCTTTACACTCTCTCCTTGATGCCATGCTTTCATTAAAAGGTCTACTCTTCGTAAAACTCACTGCCTGCTTCTAAATCTCATCTTACCAGTCCCTGACACTAAAGTGAGGCAAGTTCTTCTCTGCTGACCCCTTCCTGCATGGGGACCCCACTATTTCAAAGCTGTGAGAGTGAGCGCCAGGAGCTCGGTGTTTGCTCGTTCACATTTTCTGAAACCTGCACTGAGGTCACCTGCACTCATCATCCCCACAGAGGGCAGTGGCCAAAGCTCCCTGAGAGCCTTCATTAAGTGAAAACTGTGAGGGAGCAGTAGTCGTTACATGCATAATACATACACAAATGATATCATATGTGTTACTAGGTTAAATATGTATCATTTAAAACAAAGGTAAATTTTAGGGATTAAGATAATAAATGTTAAGTTTTTTTTCTTCCTCTACCTCAAAGAACCTGCATACAGCCCCCTATCCTGGAACTGCTACCAAAAAGAGATGACAAAGCCAGACTATAACACTTCACATCCTTTGCTTTTAGTGACAGCTTAAAGCAACAGCAGTATTTTCCCAAGCTGGTACACCAGAAGCTTGGCTGGGACTACCTAATGTCTCCAAGTCCATCCACAAGCATCACCAATCAGGATAGTAACAATAACGGCAGGGATAGTGGGATGCACACAGAGCGTGAAGCTACAGTGGGTCGCAGCCACAGAACAAGGCTTCTAACAGCAGCAGAAACCCTAAGAGAAGCGCCTCACTGCCCTCAGGCCAGCCCACGTAGCACACAGAGAGAGGAGGGCAAAGTAATCTGCTGTAAGCATTGGACATATGTACTGCCACTCATTTACCCCCAAAAAAAGGAGCCCAAGTCTCCTATGGACTGGAATCTAGAAAACTTCCCTTGAGCCTAAACGAAGCCTTCCCTCTGTGCTTTACAGCATTCAGGTAGAAACTTGTATTCTGGCTGTCAGTTTCCATACCTGATTTTACTGAGAGTTTAAGTCCCATTAGGGTACTTTCTAAACAAACAGCCTTTCAAAAATGTAGAGTTAGCAAATGCTGAATAAATGAATGAATGAATGAATGAATGAATGAATGAATGAATGATGAACAAGCAGCATGTGCTAAGAAAAGGCCTATGGTAGAGGTTTATAATGCCCCACAGTTTTCCACATTCTTAGTAACACTGTTTATGATGGTTTCTCATTTCAAAAGACTTTCCCTACTAAAATACTAGTTAGTAGAAAGATCTTGCAGTCGGTTATGATAGAGGGTTCATTATCCACACTCTTATGAAATTGTATCCAAAGAACAGTAACTTCTTTGTGTAGCCTGCAACACAAATCTATAAGCACATCTATTTAAGAATTTATTAACAGAAAACATATCAGAACCTTGGAAAGACGTTCTTAGTGCTACCAGAAATAAAGTTCTCTGATCCAGACTGTTAGCTGTCCTTCTGCACACAAAAACCCTGTTAAGCAAATGCAATCATTAAATCATACTTATTTCCATGTCACCTGAATTAAGAGAATCCATAATGAGAGGTGTAAGTTTTTTTCATTTGATAAATACATAACAGAATGCCCAAAAAGGGCTGGTCCAGGTGCTGAGCACTTATCAGAGAAAAAGGCAATATCTCAGGACTCTGAAGCTTATATTCTAGTGAGAGAAACATTGAGGGGAAGGGGGGAAATTTTAAATAAACCAATACATAAATTCATTACAGACTACGATAAGACTATAAAGGAAACACATACACATAGTGAGTGGGCAGTGGAGCAGGTGGCTCTCTAAGTCCTTTCTAAGTAGGGTGATACCTGAGTTGAGGCAACCAGGGGCTCAAAAACGTTTCTAGGGAAAGGGATTGAGAGCAAAGGCAGGAAACAGTGGCGATTTTTGAAGAACAAAATGGAGCTGCCTGGTATAGTGTGATCTCCCCCTCAGAGAGGGGGCAGAATCATATGAAAGGAAGCTGGACATGTCAGCAGAAATCAGATTATGCAGGTTTCTACAGGTCATACCAAAGGACATTAATAATGTTCTTTGAAGATGGGGCTTTTAGTAGCAGAAATAATATGAAATATGAGCCACAAGGCATAGGCCACAGTTCAGACTTAATCATATACGAGCCCATGTGACCGCAGGAGAAATTCCTCAGCCCTTACCTTGTTTCTGCTTCTGTAAAACATCTACTTACCTCTGAAGGATCAAATTGGATCCTAAATTTGATCCTATGCACAAACATACTATATAATCTCAAGTGTTATACAAAAGGAATATAGCACTGTCCAGAACAATATAACAGCCAGGGTGGCCAATTACCTGGCAGAGCAGTGTGCAGGTGAACACCTTCGGTGAGAAGCATCAGCAAGAACGTCCAAGGAGTAAAGGGGAGAAAGGGGGTTAAACTGTGGGAATAAATGAGATTATTTTAGTAAGGCTTAAATGAAACAGACCTGATTTCAAAGGGCAGCCTACTGTTCTATTATATTACTTACTCTCTTTGACAATATCCAACCCTTCTGCCATAAACATAGACATCACTCAATCAAGTTGTGCTTATCTAATAGCATGCCTATGGATGTCCCAACCCAAACAAAACTATTCCCTGTTAATTTTTCAAGATAGGATATAGTAGCATACTCCAATTAATCCCAGCACTCAGGAGGCAGAGGCAGGTAGTGAGATCCTGTCTCATTAACAAAACAAATAAAACCCCTAAAACAACCAAAAAACAATTTTTAAGAAACTTGTACTCAACAATCACTTAAATGGTAGGTTATACTTCTAAGTGGTCAGTCTAGACCTAGTGATTATCCGAGCCCTTTCCCCAAGGAGATTAGCATGAAATTACCTTTTCAAGAATAACTGGTTAGCACATTCAAGAGCGTGTGACTTGAACACAAGAAAACTAGACTAGGATGAGAATGCCAACTTAAGCTACAAGTGAGCTGTAGTGTTTCAAGTCACATAACCTCGTTAAGCTCTACCAGTCTCATCTCCAGGGTGCATGTATCAAGCATGTCTTAACCAGCTTATTACTGGGAGGGCTAACTCAAAAACTACTGCAGATTATAAATTTCAGTTCTCACCTATAAAACACCTAGTAACCCCAAACACAAGGAAACCGGAGTACAGAGCACATTTTAGTACACCAATCCTCAGCACCAAAACCACAAAAAACAGACAAAAGGGAGGTTGAGGATCAAATGGGAACTGTGTACAAGAGATCTCACTTCGTACTTGCTAGCTTTCCTGTACTTTTTCCAAAATAAATAGTCCTTCGAAAAACTATCATTAACTTAACGCATCTTAAGACTGAAAAGAACTTGTAAATGATAACTTCAAAGATATTTAAAAAGAATGAAAACTAAGCTGATATATACAGGTGCATAACTTTGGGGAAACAGTTAAAACTTATAGAACACCACTTCGTTTGCACAGGACAAAGGAGACCAAGAGATGGGCACAAGCCACCTTCTGCCTTTGTATCATGAAGCAAATATGATCCGTGCTCTAGCTTAAAAGCCCCCCAATTCTCTTGCATGCCACCTTCATGACTCTCCTTATCGGTCTACCACCTTACCCTACTGCTCATCTAGTACTTTTCTTTACACCAATTACTTTTACTCAGCTTTGTCCTGTTTCCATGAAGTAACAAGCCTGATATAATAACGACATTATAATACATAATTTAAATGATGTGTACACAAACCACCTGAAATCATCTCATAAACACACCAGTTTCACCTTCCACTGTTCTAGTTCATTTTGAAACAGAACTTCACAGTGATTTTTGTCTGAAATGTCTATCAACTTAATAAGCCACTAAGTAGTCCCCAAACTAACCAAACCATCAAACACAAAGCAACAAGAAGCCTAAGAATTTTTACTCGTCAGTCTCCATAAATTTACAACTCAGTACTAAGATAAAGCATTCCCCATTCTGTAAGATGAAACGCTTCAAACATGACCATAACAACTGCCACCATAAGTCACTTTTAAACTGTGAAGCCTATTCAAAGGCCTAAATATATCAAGGGCTCCTAAAGTGGAGCCAGGAAGAAAGACTGAGCAGAAAAGCTCAAAGGCCTTGACCACGTCTCCTGAAGTAGCTCTGCCTTTTCTTCTGCTTCTTAGGCTTAGGCTGCAGCACAGGGCTTGCACAGCATGAGATTCAAGCAACAAACTAAACCAGAAGCAGATGAGAATCACTCTGCTTTCTTACTACAAAGTTCAATACTAAAATTAAACCAGGATTCCCTTGAACTATGCTGTTATAAATAAGAAACTGATGATTGCGTTCGAACGTAAAGGGGAATTAGCTATAGTTCTTATCAGTGAACATGGGGCAGTCTTGGAACACTATCCTCCAAGAAAATCAGAATAATGTGGAAGAAGGAATCTTACCTCATGTGCACAAGCAGAAATGTGAGGAAAATCAGGGGCCAATGTTTTATTCTTTCTAAAGGAAAGGAAATGGAAAGATAAAATAAAGATGACAAAAAAAAGTGATCTTACCTGATTTCATTCTCTTTTCCGGTAACGAGAGAGAGAGAGAGAGAGAGAGAACAGAGAGAGAGAGACAGAGAGAGAGAGAGAGACAGAGAGAGAGAGAGAGAACATATATGAAGGTGTACATAAGACTTATAGAGTCTAATTGGTATCCCCAAATGTCTAGTTTTTTTTTAAAGTGGAGGCACGTGTCAAAACGGGCCACCTTGCAGACTAAATGATCTTTAAAACTTCCTTGTCTGGGGCTGGAGAGATGGCTCAGTGGTTAAGAGCAGTGGCTGCTCCTGCAGAGGACCCATGTTCGATTCCCAGTACCCACATGGCAGCTAACAACCAGCTTCAACTCCAGTTCTTGGGGGATCTGATGCCCTCTTCTGACCTGTGCAGGATTTGCACGACATGGGTGCACCTACCTACATGCAGGCAATACACTCATACACATAAAATAAAAATAATAAATAAAAAATAGAAGTGACAGGAAAAGAAGAGAGGGGAAAAGATAAAGGTAGGACAATGAAGTAAAAACAAGGAACTAGGAAAGAGCGACTGAAGGAGAAAGATATTAGCTATGTGAACAGTTTACCAAAAGTAACTCTTCAGAGGAAAAGCCTGGCAATGGGAGGTAAACAACTGGACATGGGGGACTAAACCACCTATTATAGCCTGACAGTCATACACCTCAGCTGTGTAGCAAAAAAGGACTCCAACTCCACAACGGTGTAATCCACACAGCACACCTTCCTTGCATGTTTTAGAATTAAAAATTAGACTAGGCTGGATGTTACAGGGTGCTGACCATAATGTATAAGGGATAAATTATATAAGTCCTTCAGCATGCATAAATGTTTAGTTATTTGCTTTTTCCTGTGTAGATGTTCATGGCACGTGTGCACGTGTGTTGACATGTGGGAGGGGGTATCTTCCTCAGGGTGTCTTGCTGAACCCAGAGCTCACAGCTGGCCAGCTTGCCCCAGGAATCCTATCTCTGCCTCCCAAGTGGCTGGTATTACTCACAGGCCACCACAACTGCCCGGCTTTTCTACATGGGTGCTGAGGATATAAACTCTGGTCTTCATGCTTGATTCACTGAGCTATCTCCACAGCCTCAAGACATATGTATTTATTTACATTCTTGCCAGTGAGGATCCAGTAGGAGGCTGCTGGGGCTGTAACACACAGCAAAGTCAAACATGAAGGAGACGAAACTGTTATGAGAAAGGCAGCTCTGCGCAGCTTCGTTCAGCCTTCCCACTGCATTCACCATAGTAACCAGGACAGAAAGATATCTCCTCAAAGAGGTCTAGAGGACAGACTCAATCAGCCATGTGGGACAATAATAAATTTTAAGAAAAAAATGAGTTTAAAATAAATCATCCTTAGTCATGGCTACTAACATAACACCTAGAGATATAAAAAGTTAAAAAAGGGGCTGGAGAGATGGCACAGCGGTTAAGAACACTAGTTGTTCTTGCAGAAGACCTGGGTTCGAATCCCAGCACCCACATGGCAGCTAACGACTGTCCATAACTCCAGTCCCAGGGGATCCGACAGCCTCTTCTGACCTCCACAGGCACTGCACAACATGGGTGCACTTACCTACATGCAGGCAATACACACATATACATAAAATAAAAATAATAAATAAAAGTTAAAAAAATAATAATCTAAATTTTTTTTTAATTTGTATTTGTGTGTGTGTGCGCCTGTGTGTGTACACATGCAGGTGTATGTGCCACAGCACACATGGAGGTCAAGGACAACTTTGTAGAGCTGGTTCTCTTCTTCCTTTTACATGGGTTCTGGGGACTGAACATAGGTCACTAGGCTTACAACAGAAGGTGGCAAGAATTTCTACATACTGAGCAATCTCACCAGCCTCACTTGAGCCTAACATAACTACTGTCATGAAGAACAAATCTTCAAGAGCTCCTCTTTCAGCTCTGAAGTCTAATATGAAGTTGCTCTAATATGAAGTCTTCTCTATCTCCTTCTTCAAGGGCAGGCCAGTGTACACGTAAACACTTACTCTTTCTGCCGGGGGTCACTGATGATATGGCTTATCCTCTCGGTTCCCAGAGTGCTTATGCTGGTCTCCTAAAATGACAAGACAGGAGTATCATCTAAGCACAGAAGCAAATATATACAATGCAATCTGTCACCAAGCTCACATTTTCCTTTAATTGTGCCAGTAAGCCAATCTCAAATGCACATGGCAAACATCAATCTTAAAATCCAATAGCAACTATTTCTTTTGATGAATGGCTGGCTACCTAGCTATTCTCTGATCATAAAAAAGAAGTCATTATAAGTATTGTTTATATGGTGTTTTTCCATTTTAAATTGAGCCTTGTGCATGCATATGTGCGTGGGTACATGTGTATATGTGAATGCATATACAAGTATGTGAGTGTGCCCATAGAGACCAAAGGACCATCTCAGGTGTGATACTTCAGGTGTTGCCCATCTTTTCTTTTAAGACAGGGTACTGGCCTGGAGCTTATGAACAGTCTAGGATGGCTGGTCAGAGCCTCAGATCTGCCTGTGTTCACCTCCCCAGCAATGAGATTACAATCGAGCCACCACACCTGGAGTTTTGTTCACATGGGTTCTAGGGGACAAATTCAAGTCTCTGGCATGCATTTTGCCAACTTGAGCTATTGCCCAGGCCTAAATCTGTTTACTGACACGTAAGTCAAATATAAAAATGTACATTAATGAATACCAAGTGATGTTTCAGCATATATATATATATATATAGTTTACTGTTTAAATCATGTTAAATCTCTTCAAATACTTTTCATTTATATGTGTGTGTACGTGTGTTCTTTTAATACAGTGTGCAAGTGTGCAACAGTTCCTCTCATTACTGAAGGATAAAGGGTAGAAAAACATTTTCAGGAATAATTCAAAAGCAACTAATTTCTTTCTTTCTTTAGTCTTACTATACAGCCCAGGCTAGCCTCAAACTCCTGCTCCAGCTTCCTACGTGCCAGGTGGGATTACAGGTATGTGTTATCACATCTAGCAACAATAGTCAAATTTTAATAGGCTGGTACACTAAGCTCTATCAGCTATTTGATTATAGTTCAACAGCCTTCACACTAAGACACTGACTAATCCTCACTGAGAAAACCCAAATATCTGTTGAATAATCACATATGTGTTAAAGAACTTTTGCTACTTACAAAATAACGACTCTGGCTGGGGTATACATCAGTGATAGAGTACTTGCCTAGCATGCACAAGGCCCTGAGTTCAATCCTTAACACCACAACAAACAACAACAAAAACAAAAATTATCACTCTGTGTTCTGTCCCTTAAGCATTGTTTCAAAGTACATAAAAGGCTATATAAATTGATTTATAAATTCGGGGCTCTAAGGATCACAGAAGGAAAGCTTACCCATACCACCATAAGCAATTCAGAAACTAGCCACCTCTAAAACCTTGTAGAGGGGCAGAAGGCCCGCCCCTCCCAATTAAATTGAGCACACTTAAAATGAATATCTACCACAGTGCCTGATAAAGCACACCAACTCACACAGGAGTGAGAATTACACACATAAGTGAATGCTAAGTGAGAGAGTATAAGTCACAGGCATGTATGTCAAGAACAGCAAGCTGTTACTCAAACATATTTGTTTCTCGGCAAATGTTACCACCCATATTCTATGTACAGATCAGCTTCAAGAGTAGGATGCACACTTTAGCAGAACCACTAGCTATAGAAAAATTAACTTGAGGTCAGATTCTGGACGGGGTGGAGCTAAATGAAAAGGGTTCCCACACTGCATTTTTCATATTCCTCATCCCTCTGCTGATGCCTCCTTGTTGCAGACACAGAATGGTAGGGGGGGCACAGGAAAAGATGGGTGAAAAATGAGCTATTTGCTACAGCAGAAAAATTATTAACTTAAAATGCATTAATGTTTAAATTTACAGTTTATTACTGTGTAAATTACAAGCAGTACTTTACGTAATTAGCAGCTCGCTGGCAGAGAGCTGTGAGTGAAACTCATTATTTATTATTACAATCTAGAAAAAGAGGAGAGGGGTGGGGGAGGGGGAAGCGGGAACAGAGCAGTGACCTCTGCTAGAAATGACAAATATCCCTTTAAGGTGATGAAGATGAATTAAACAAGTAAATATCACCCTATTCATTTGAAATCATTAGCTGCATGTCAAATAGGCCCTAGATTCCTTCCAGGCAAGCTGAAGGGAGCCTTCAATATGAACTGAGTCACTTCCACGGAAGCAGAAGGCTCTTACTCTGCATGAGCTAAAAGAAAGGCAGGCAGTAGGGACATTATTCCCCCAGTGATTGGAGGGGGAAAGTAAAACCATCTCTGTCCCACACTCCCAACCTGTTGCCCCCCTTAACTCTATCTACTTATAACCCCTAGTGTCCTGTCAAGAGAGAGCTCCCAGAACAGCACAGGCAGCACTGCAAGGTCTGCAAACAGAGTGAGTCAAAAGGAACAAGGTATCATTCTCACAAAGATCTGGTGTCTCACTACATAGAGATTAGAACTGGAACTTAAAGATAAGAAATAAGAATCATGGGCTGGAGAGATGGCTCAGCGGTTAAGAACACTGACTGTTCTTGCAGAAGACCCGGGTTCGAATCCCAGCACCCACAGGGCAGCTAACAACTGTCCATAATTCCAGTTCCAGGGGATTCAACAGCCTCTTCTGTCCTCCGTAGGCACTGCATGACACAGGTGCACTTACATACATGCAGGCAATACATGCATACACATAAAAAATAAAAAGTAACAAATAAAAAAAAAATTTTTTTTTTAAATAGCCGGGCATGGTGGCACACACCTTTAATCCCAGCACTTGGGAGGCAGAGGCAGGCAGATCTTTGTGAGTTCAAGGCCAGCCTGGTCTACATAGTGAGCTCTAGGGCAGCTGGGGCTACAAGAAGACCCTGTCTAAAGACAAAAAATAAATAAATAAATAAAAATCGCCAGGCATTGTGGTGAAAGAAAAAGAAAAAAGAATTAAGAGTTCATTTAGAAATATACAGCCCAATTTCCCTTGCATGCCTCAAACTTCAGAAAACAGTTCCCCTGGGTAGACTATAATACAAAGCAGTAGCCAAACTGTGGCTAACCACTACAAACCTGGTTCGGTACACAGATGCCTCATAGCAGGCATTCTAAATGGTAGCCGAACTCTTCCCTACCATTATCTTCTCTGGCAGGCTAAGAGCCCCTGTCTTAGCCCATTTCTCAATTTCAAAGCCAGAATACAAAATTAAGTAAGAGCTGGGTACATGCCTATAATCCCAGGATTCAGGAGGTTAGGCAGAAGGATCTTAAATTCAAGGCCAGTCTAGAATACATAGAAAGTACCAGGCCATTTTGGGCTCCATAGAAACCCTGTCTCCAAAGAATAAAAAATAAAAATATATTAACTTGGCAGGGCCGGTGGTACACACCTTTAATCCCATTCAACTCCCACATAATGTTCACCCTTCTAAATTCCCAGAACATTCCATTTGGCTTTATTAACTCCAGAGAGTTCTGTGGTGCCTTTGTCAGTAGGGCATGAAAATTCCATAGAGACTAACATCTTCCCACAGCACCTAAGAAACCATGAGAGCTGTCACCTTCCCAATCAGCCTTCTCCGCCCCTTCCGAAGGCATCGGGCTGCAGCTCCCGGCAGCCGATTCAAGCGAGCATGATACCCTAAGGAAAGAAGAAAAGCCCCAGTTATTGAACACCCAAAATCCATAAGCAGTCAAGATGCACACTGAAGCCCTACCTTAGGATCTTCACAAAGCTATCTGCCAAGAACTTAACTGTTCCCGTATCTTTGTCACGAGCAGTATGATCTTAGCTGTGCAATTCTGAGCACCAAGAATCAATAAATACTGGATAACTGAGTAACTAGTTGATTATTGAGAATCCTAGAATTCTACATTTACAGAGCTAAAGGAACCTGGAAAACAGTCGTGTTCAATGTCATACATCTTAAGTAATGACTCTGGCATCTAAGGAATTGAAATGACTTGGTCACAGTTACAGATCTAATAACACCAGAAGTGTTACCACACTTCTATCTCCCTGTCATGGACTCTTTCCACCCCATTTTGCTATTTTAATTGAAATAAAAGCAAAGGTAAAAGATAAACATTTGTATTAAGGTATACAATAATAGAATCATTAAAAATATTTAAAGTATTTTTAAACATTAATTTTTTAAATGCCACCATATCTTGCATGTGAATGTTCTGATTAAAATTTGTTCCTAAGAGCCAGTATTTCAAGATTCTAATGAGGACTCAGCAGACAACCCATCTGCTTCACAAAGGGGTGTGTAGCTGTGGCATGTTTGATGCTGGGCTTCCTATCTGGCACAAACTGGCAGTGGCAAGCTGAAGGAGGGCCTGCTAATGTGCCCCAAGAGCCTACATGGATTGACTTAGGGAGAACCTTGAACCTTGAGACTCACCCCTGAATCCTCCAGACTCCTGCACGAGCATCATAATTCTGATAGCAATGTGTGCTTAGCAGCATGTGTGTGCATGAGCAAGGGAAAAGCCATAAAATCATGAACTCTACTGTAATCTTCTCCAAACTCACCTCTCTGAGCTGGCCGGGAAGGCAAAAGGAATGTGGAATCTGAAAGTTTTTCAAGTCCAGAGTCCATTCTCTCTACCTCACTGCAGTGATCAGGAGCCCACTTGGGCAGAAGATTAGGGACAGTGAATCCGGGAACGCATTCTCCTTCATAGAACCAATCACTCTGCTCATCATCCCCTAAAGAAAACAGATCAGGCCATGAGCTAGAATGTTAAAAACCAAATGCCAGGATGCTTTCTTTTTTTTTTTTTTTTTTTTTGTTTTTTAAATTATTTGGCTGGATGTTAAAAAACAAAATGCAGGGTGCTTTTTTTTTTTTTTTTTTTGTTTTTGTTTTTTAAATTATTTCTTTAATAAACATATAATTAGAAGAGGCATTTCATTATAACAGCATTGCCATAATCAGTAACAATTTCCAGACCTAAGATGCATCTATTTCAAAATTGGCTGTAAATTTTTAGGTTTACAGTTGAATTAATACAGTTATACAATATTGTACTCCATAAAACCCTATAAGATATAAAATTAAATGAGGTTTCACACTTTGAAAAAGATCCCCATTTCATTATTAAAATACAGTTTCAAACAGAAAAATTCATTTTTAATAGAATTGACACTAAGATGCATATGCGTTTCTAATCTCTATATATCTGATTATTACTAGTCACAGTTAGTTACTCTCTGAGCTCCTTGGCATCTGAGCATGGATATAAAGTCATCAGGTAGATTTCAACGGGAATGTTTTTCACATTTACTAATTATTAAGGAGAAAATTTTAATGCTTTGAAGAATTTTTTTTATACATCCACTTCCCAGATGGCACCCTCCAATAGCCTCCCTCCCCCTACTTGAGCCCTTATACTCTGATATCCCTGCTACTGTCTGCTGTGTTGTCGGAACCCCCAGCCATTCCCCACTACTTGGCCTTCTGGTGAATCTAGTTGCTGTTCATTTTCCCAGTTCTATGCTGGGTTACTACCTGGGAATCCCTTTGGCCACCCTGGCCAACAACTCAAAAGAAAGTGTCACCTCTCTGGCATTGTTATTTGCTATATTGCCTTTAGCTATAAATATAGACTCTTATGATATTATATTGGTCCCTTTAATCTTTGCTTATACTTTCCTTTTGGGTGTTTAAGGCCAAACAGTTGGTCCAGATAAACTGATTTATTTTTCACTCTTAAGGTCATTTGAGGATCTGTTCCTCAGTGGTCACATGGGCTTGGGAGGAGCTCTCGCCTCCTTTCTTTTACCAGTTCCGCGTATGTAAAGATAAGTCAAAGGTCCTGCTTGACCATGGTTGGCTTCGGTTGGAAGCATGAAGAAATGATTCCTCTGTGTTGATCCTCCTCTTTATGGACTGGACACTGATTCAAGTTAATCTGGTGGGGTCTCCTTGGCCTCCTTGATCAAGAGGACAGGTGACCCACAACCAATATAGGACATTTTGAGAGATGCTCATAGTCCCCTGGAGCTAGTTGACCTAGGAGGGCAAGGAGCATTAACTATCCTTTATGTCCCTCTGACCAAATTATTACAGACCTCAAATTGTGTATGTTAAACACCCAAGAAGGTTAGTTCCATCAGTCTGGTATTTTTATTTACTGTGTGTCATGTAGATAAATCTTAGGCAAAGACCAATTGTTCTCAGAAAAACCTTACCTAGACATGTTTCTTGATCTGCTATGTATAATTTGTCAGTAGGTTGTAGGAGTAATATGGTTCACTCTGGTTTTCAAAACTAGCGAGGCACTGTTTATCTCTCACATTGTCTCACTCCTCCATCATGGTTTTCCCTCTTAAGGTGCCCCCATTTCCCCCCTTTCTCTCTTACAATACCCTTCTCCTATGGTCCTACCTCTCTTGTGCTCCTTCTTTCCCTTTATCCACTAGGTTCCCTGTATATCCTTCCCTCCCTCCTCCCTTAAACTAACCCAATTTTTATCCATATCTCCCTTATTAAGGCCTGTTTCCTACTGTTCTTCTCTTTCAGGTTCTTTCTTTTCCTTTACTTCCCTGGTTCCTTTCCGTTATCCTGGTTCCTGTAGTTATGTTGTGGTTGCATACTTATTTATCAGAGTCTGGTTCTAGGATCCACATGAGGGAGAACATATGTCGATTTTTTTTTCTGAGTCTGTGTTACTTCACATAGTATAACAGTTTCTAGTTCCATCCATTTACCTGCAAATTTCATGATTTCATCTTTCTTTACTGCTGAGTAAAACTCCATCGTATGAATGAACCACATTTTCATTATCCACTCGTCAATTAAGGGACACTTAGGTTGCTTCCATCTCTTAGCTACTGTGAAAAGAGCAGCAACAAACATGGATGTACAAGTGTCTCTACAATAGGATGAGTTCTTTGGGTATATGCCAAGGAGTGGTATAACTGGGTCAAATGGTAGGTCCATTTGTAGTTTAAGAGTTCTCCACACTGCTTCCCATAGGGGTTGAACAAGTTAGCAGCCCCACCAGAGGTGGATGAGTGTTCCCCTTTCCCCACATCCTCTCCAACATCTGGTATCATTTGTTTTCTTGATCTGGGGTAAGGTGGAATCTTAAAGATTTAATTTGCATTTCCCTAATTATTAGTGATGTTGAACATCTTTTAAGATGTTTCATAGCCATCTTTACTTCTTTTGAGAACTCTCTGTTCAGCTCCTTAGCCCATCTTTTAATTGGGTTACTTGTCTTGATTCTCTGTTTTTTGAGTTCGTTATATATTCTGGATATTAAACCTCTGTCAGATGTGTCGCTGGTGAAGATTTTCTCCCATTCTGTGGGTTTTCTGTTTGCTTCCCTGGTTGCCTCCTTGATTGTGTGTAGGCATAATTTCTTGCATCTAAAATACTAGTATTCAGAAGCTGAGGCATCCGTTTATTAATTCTTGCCCTTCTTTCCTGAGCAATTGATGTCTAGTGAAGAAAATCCTTTCCTATGCCTATATTTTGTAGGTTTTTCCCAATGTTTTCTTCTAGCAGTTTCCAAGTTTCGGGTTTTATATTGAGGTCTCTGATCCAAATTGACTTTTGTGCAGGGTGGAAGATAAGGGTCAAGTTTCATTTTTCTGCAGGTGGAGATCAAGTTTTGCCAGCACCTTTTGTTGAAGATGCTATCTTTCCTCGACTGTGTGTTCTTTGCACCTTTGTCAACTATCAGGTGGCTGAAATTATATGAAGTTATGTTTGGGTCTTCTATT